ATGGATGAGGCCTCTGTATTGCTCTGGGAAAGTCATTAAATGACAGAAGGTTAAGTTCAAGAAAGCTTGCTTTCTTCTTCTTGGGTTCCTTGCCCTTGGGAAGAGGTGGATCATCTCTCTCTCTCTCTCTCTCATTATAGGAACAACAATTTGATGGCCGGGCTCAAGACCCCAGTAAGTTTAATCTCCAGTTTTAAATCATCTTGGCCTCTAGAGAGATAGCATAGTCCAATCAGTCAATAGAAAAGACATAAATTCTCAATTTCCCATAAATGAGCTCTTGTATATCATTACAAGAAAGGAAATTCATCTTTTAGCTAAAGCTGGATTTATTTGCAAGAGGCTGAGAGCTTTAGTTGTGGTCACATATCACATGTTTCTGCAGAGACTGCAGAGCTTAGCCAGTTGAAAACCTTTACTATTGCATGTTGCTGGTTCCCTTACATACAATAAGGAATGATTGCCAGAGACCAAATTGGATTTATGCCATTGTTGTGCTCTGCAGAGGACTTGGTAATACAATAATTCCTTGCTGGGAAGTCTGACTTTAGATGAACGACGCCCTGTCTGTGCCCTTTCTCATCATTATTAACACTGAATTGTACTTTTAAAAAAAATTCTTGAGAGAAATTATATGAGAATAGTTTATTGTATTACATGGAAATAGATGATTACACATATGTTCCCATTGGATCTCATTCAGCTCTTTGGTCCTCTTTCTCCCTTTGTGGCCTGATGGACATTCTTTTGCCTAAGTTGTATATCAGAAACTCTTAAATTTTTGTAAGCTCATGCTTGTGTCATCAGTGACAGTTCTTTTTCCTCCTTGTCTCACCCATTTTTGGCTCCAGCCCACCATAAATCATTCAGGCCAGATATAGTCCTGGGGCAAAACAAAACAAAACAAAACAAAAAAACCACTCCATCATCTCCATATACTAGGTAGCTTTCTTGGCAGATCCACATTAGTCATTTGCCTGTTGTTGGTTTTTTTTTTTTTTTAATTCCAGTCTCACTTGCAGCCCTTGTATTCTCTGCTGGTTTTGCATTCAAGTATTAAGCAGGCCCAATCTTATGTAACTTTGAAATACAGAAGTTTTGCCAAATGATGTTACCCGCTTTAGAGTTTGAAAAAGGATGAATGCCTATTGGTGAGTCTCTAGGAGTTTTCTGGGTCTGTGCAATGTTACAAAGTCTAACCATTTCATATTTAGAAGTGAAATTGATGGCAACTCTGGTTAAATCACTATCTTCCCAAGTTCTATAGAGGAACAGCTTTCATGACATTGTATAACATTATGAAATTCAGCTTACTTCTGTCTTAGAGCTGTATTCTAAGATGAGCAGCTCTACAAAAATAAGTAGAGCAAAAGTAACACTAAAGCAGGTAAAAAACTAACTAGCTCTTATTTTTTGTCTCAAGTCTCTGGCCAGTATTACCTGTTTGACAGCAGTACTGGAGCACGGCGCTGGGTATGAGCATGAAGGAAAATGAAGAGACAGCTTTCTAGACACCAGGAACTCTCTGTCGGGTATCTACTATATATGTTGATAATGGTGGCACAACAGTAGCTTTCCATTAGTTACATGTATTTTAATAATCAGAGGTTGCCACTTTCCTTTCTTCTTTTGCTATTTTGGTTTCCATGGTTGTTTCATCTGTGAAAAATTCTTTCTACCACTTACAATGCCCCTATATCTGGAAATTCTCCATATTATGGGAGAAGGTAAGAATGGTGATATGGCACTAGGTAACACATCAACCCACTTGTCCCTTCTTCTTACAAAGACATGTGTCTATGAGAAAGTGCTGTAATAAAGGCCCTTTTAGTGTTGCTTGAGTACAGAAGAATTGTATGTGAACTGTAAAATCTGGTTCAGAAACAAGGGATAGCAATTGAGTTTAATATTAAATCATCTAAATCTCTGGTTAGGCATATTCATTTCTGTTGTAGCTCAGTGGTTCTGAAGTTTTGTGTCATTTTGCCATATAGCATCATGTACATATTTCTTTCCTTCGATTTCATTTCTCTTGCTGATTGTTGGGGATGCTTGAATAACTGGGAAATAATAAAAGAATTATGCATCGCACCAACCTGTTGGGTGAGTGTTCCAAAGTCAAACACAGCAACATGAGATACAATAACTGTAATTTTCTAATACTTTATTCAGTGCAGGTTAGGTTGGATTCATGATGGGACATATTTTTTCAAGGTGCTCCCTAGGCAAAGCTTTACTCACATTAGTGCTATTATAATATAATAAAGTGAATAAAAACAAATAAAAAATCTTCCCCTGACATATGAAGTTATCAGAAGTCAGAGATTTTGGGGGTATGAAATAGCAATTTCCAGACCAGCTGTGGTCCAAATGTCTGCCAGATTGATTCCCTTTCTGCTTTAAGAGGATGTGTTGTATTTAGAATAGAGAACAGAGTGGAAAGTCTTCTGAGAGCAGCTTTCTGCTCAAAACATGGGAATTAGTATTGCAGCTTGCCACTGCTAACTAAACTTATTCTTCTTTATCTCCTAATAAAATTCTGTATATAATGGACAATGATGGTATTTACAGCAGTATATTATTTTAAAAATTTGGACATTGTCTAAATGGTGATTATGTATGTTGCCCTAATACTGCAGTCTATAGTACAATTTTTTGGGGATGTGCAGTAGTGGCCAGGACAAACTTGTGATGAGAAAGTGCCCTCTGCTGGAGCACCAATTGAAACAACTTGATTTATTACTGGAAGTAATATAAGATTATACATTAGGAATATGCAAATTCTCAGTGTTGCACAATAAAGTAATTAATTGCCTAAATACAAGTAATTAATGACAGGTAAATGTGTTTATATTCTATTGGATAGGATTCTATTATTCCTTTTTAATAAATTAAATTCAGTTGTTAAATATATTGAAATACACAGTGGAAAAAAGAAATTATTGAAATAAAAAGTAGAAAAAAACAAAACAAAACAGACTGTTGCATTTGAAATAAAAGAAAACATGGTGAAATTAAGCCTATGGTGTATTTTTCTTATCAACCCAAGCAGCTGCTAGCTGAAGCTGAAGCAAGTGAGAGAAGCTGAACAAACAACAAATGAACTCAAGAATAACAAATAAATAAGAACTGAAATAGAGAGTGCATATTGGGAGTATGGATATCCAGTAAAAGTCAAAATGTCAAAATGATATTGAACTACATAGTAAGGATAAGATTGAGTTACCAGTAATTTACTATGTGTATTGGCTGACACCACTGTAACTTAAATCCTTTCTGGAGGAAGGATATAAAGGAATCAGCATCAAAACTACTTTTGAAAAATTAATTATCCTTCTCGACTTAAAGGAACAATCTCAACAAATTATAGGTTATTATTGAATTTGGAATTACATAACCTTTATTAATAAGTACTCTTCTTGATAGCTAGCTTATGTACTACTTGCAGATTCAAGGGGTCTTATATTAAAATACCAACTACTGTACTAAGAAGCAAAAATGAAAAAGCAATACTTTTACACTTAACTTCTACACTTCTGCTTTTAAATTTGCTTCTACATTGGTTGACAGCTATTACATATGATGCTGGATGCTAGATCCTGTATAAGCCTCCAATTAAATCTGTTAAGTTCTATGTATTTAAGATTGCGGGAATTTCCAGAAAAGCATTTTCTGTGAAATTTTATTACATCGTCAATGTTTCATATATGCAATTGTGTGTAGAATGGAAGGCCAATATAAAACTTTTGTGTACTATTGACTTTCAGATGAGTGAAAAGCACTTTCTGGATACATGCAGGAGATGTAGCTACAGTATGAATTTCATTAAAAAGATCTACAATTTAAAAATAATATTTTACTTTGATTGATACTTATATTTCTCATATTGGTGAAACTGCCATGTTCAGAAACTCTCTTATCTGTGTCTTGGTCAAAAGTTTCCTTTAATTTTCTTTGATGGGCAAATATTGTATTTCTCCCTGCTTTCTCCTTGCTGAGAAAACTAGCAGAAAGCCTACATCAATTATATTTCATTGTGATATCTTGAATTATTGTCATAGCTGAGGGTTCATTTTCCTGCTGTGATCTACTTTTAAAATATCTGGTCAGATATCATTAGCCTCTTCCTTTAATACTGGCCAAGAAAACTTAATGATTTAAGTAGCTGAGGTTTTCAAACAAAAAATATAAATAGGTGTGAAATATATGTGCAACTGTATTATTTACCTGCACCTCTTGTTGTTGCAGGTTTGAATTGAAATTTGATTAAATATGTCCTATTTGGTGAAGATATAAATTATCTGGTGGATTGGGGCAGTGTGTAATGGGTTCCATTTGACCTGGCTGATTTGCCAAAGGATCCATTCAATAATTACAAGTTGGCAACAAAGAAATTTAGAAAATACTTTGTTTTTGCAAAGGCCAGACGAATTTTTGTTAATAAATCTGGTAATGTTAGTACATATATCCAGTCGTTATTTATTGCAAACACTTTAAAGCTATGAACTTTTTTTTTTTAAAAAAAGTAAAATTTAAGACAATCTTAGTCAGAGGGCAGCCAGGATAACACTGGAGTTTGTAAAACATTTAGAAGGCCTCCTGAGAGATAAGATAGCATGAAAAATACGTCACGCCAGAGTTCAGAGGCTAAGCAGCAGAAAGCTAGCTTAAGATTCACTTTCCTAGGAAGGCTCAGAGGTCAATTGTTAAAAGAGCAGCCTCAAGAGGGACATACAGAATAGCAGCGACAGGCTTTTGTGATTGGTTGGTGAGTCACTCCTCCTTAGCCAATAGGAGATAGCCCCCGCAAAAGGTTGGTTTCGTCACATTTGCGCAGCGTGCGTTGGAAAACCGGAGGCGGAGTTCTAGTCGAAGAAGGCGCAGAGAATTTGGAGAAGTGACGGTTACGTAATCCAATAAAAATGAGAACCAATAGAAAGCTTGTAATGGATCAACCTGCGATTGGTTTCGCTTCCTTGGAGGTGGACCTTGGGCGCCACGGTTGCTATGACGGCAGAATGCCCACCTTCCCGGCGCCGCCATCTTGTTGTTGATTCGAACTGTAGGGAGCAGGTGAGGGAAGTCTTGAAGCCGGCCTGGGGGGACCCAGCAGCAGCACCCCCCCGGCCAGGCAGGGGGAAATTTACGTTGGTGAGTGTCGGGCCCTTGTTCTTGGTAGGAAGCGATCTGGATCGAAAGGGAGGGAGCCTCTTCCGAATTGGATGTGGGAGGGGATCGGGGAGTGAATGAGCGCTTGTAGGGAGAAGGTAAGGCCGGTTCGGGGGATCCGGCGGGTAGAACAGCAAAGCCACCTGGGTGAGGGCTGCTGTTAAAGCTCGTGAGAGGGAATAGGTATCCTCGCGATAATCCTGCCGAAGCTGCTCGAGAGACGTCTATGGTACAGGTGTCTGTTGAGCCGTTTCCCCCGTTTGGCGCCCTCTAGATGAGTTTACTGAACTTCACGTGAGATCCCATCATCCCCAACCAGCACTCGGGTGGTCGAACATAATCCCTAGGGAGGGCGCCCTGTGGGGAAAGCTGGTAGAAGCGAAATAAGTTGTGATTTTCTGCTCAGCCGATTTCTGAGCGCTCTGCCTGTCCTTTCCTTGATGACAACTGGCTATGAGAGTCCACCGGGTCATTTTGGAGGGGGACTTGTAAGGAATGACACCGGCAGATGTTGGTGACATCTGCAAGGTGATGGGTGGTTGGGGGGGGGGAGAGTTCTGAGGCTAGAGAAACTTTTGCTCAGAGGGTATTTGGGATGTGCTGTGTATGCCATAAACTTTATCCCTTCCACCAGCAATAACAATGTAAGATTTAAGGTTGTCTAAATTTATTGAGAAATTGTGTTGGTTTTTGGCAAGAGACTTTTGCTTGGAACTTCCATCCTAACAAAGCATGTTGGCCCCAATTCAAAATATTGTGGGAATAGCAAAAAGGCTTTCCTCCATGAGCAATGAATATTTTATAGTTGAATTTTAGACTGACCGTTGTTTATATTATAACAGCTCTGTATGACTGTGATGCATTGAACAAAGAGTAACTTTTGGGATTGCCTTTTGATATTGCCAACTTTTTTTCCCCATTGATATGTTCATCATTTTAACATTATACAAATGCGTATCCTCTGCCAACTTGAAATAAGTTTCAAATGTTTAGAAAGTGCAGTTAATTCTTCATTAAAATATTTTTGCGTAATTTTCACTTTATTTATCAAATTCATTTGCTGCCCATCTCACAGTTCAGAGAAACTCTGAGTGGCTTACAACAAAATAAAATACAGACATTCAACAGTTATAAAAATAACAGCTGATTAAAATTACAAAAATTAAACTAAAAAACAAGAAGTTGGAGGTGAGAAGGGAGTATGCCTTATCTATTAGTGCACAACCAACTCCAGCCAACAGCTTCTCCTTCAGGTCTTTATGTTAGCTGGCATAGCCAGTTTTTTTCTGATGGCTGAAAGTGGTGTGTGTGTGGATCTTACCTCCTGTGGCAAGATGTTCCAAAGAGCAGGAATGGCAGAAAATGATTTTCTCCTGTATCCCACCAGCTGAAGTTCTTTGGTTGATGGGATCTGCAGTAGGCCCTCTTCTGCCAGCACAAGTGAGACAGGCTAATCCTGGTTGGGGAAATACAGTTCTGCAGATAGGTAGTAACCAATACATTGAATTGCATCCAGAAGCAGATTGGCAGCTAGTGCACTTGCATAACAGTGGTGTTATATGTGCCACCCTAGGTACCTCCAAAACTGTCCATGCCGTTGTGTTCTGGACCAATTGAGCCTTCCAAATATTCTTCAAGAGTAGCTCCATGTAAAACATGTTGCAGTAATCCAAGCAAAAGATTACCAGGGCATGAGTGACTGAGCGCAGGGCCTCATGTTCCAGGAAAATGTACAATTGGTGCACCACATGAAGTTGTGCAAAGGGTTTCCTAGCCATGATTGCCAGCTGCTCTTAAAGCAAGAGTCACAAGTCTACGAAAATTTAGTATCTTTGTTATGAAGAGCAAGTGAAATCAGCTAATTAATTGCCTGGAACTATTTTTTTTTAATAAACAGCTTCTGTGAAAATTGCATATACTGTATATATGTTTATGGATGCATTTGGTAAATGATCTTGTCAGTCCACTGACAAGAGTCAAGTAATTAGCAATGAGATCATACTGATAATTATGATTATTAGATTATTGCTGGAAATAAATTCTCATTGCTTAGAATGCTGCTCTTATTAGCATATTGAGATAAATAGGAAATACCTTTCAGTTTTTATTTAAAATTCAGTTATTACTGCCCCCTAGAATATGTTAGGTTCATAATTTGTTCAAGAATCTAGGCTTAAAAGATATGAATATCTTTCATTTACTTATAATCTGGAAATGCTATTCTTCTCTTAAGATTGAAGAAGTCTTTGAAATTTCAGGTGACACTGCGGTTAGTATTTGTGATTCGCTACAGTAATCTTGAGAGTATTTTTTTGTATTTATGCATCTGTGGTACTATTTTCTTGGTATATTTGAAGGAGTTTCTAATCTGTAGCCTCCTAAACAGTAGGTGCCATTAAGTCCAGTTCAATTCCTGGTCATCTTGACCCGTCTTCCCTTTGATCCAGTCCATCTATCTTATCTGTTGTTTCCCTTTTCTCTTTTCCTTGGCCTTGGATAACTGCTATAGTGGAACTACAATGAACTATCTTATCACAGTAGGATTTAAAAAAAAAGGGGGGATTTTTTTTTGTTATATTCCTTGAAGGAATATAAAAAGTTACCTTATATTTTTTTTCACTGTCTTTAGACTGCTACGCTTCCCTGTTGCTGATGTTTATGGGATAAAAATGCAATTAAAATATGACTTGTTTGACCTCAGTTTTATTTTTAAAAGTATTCTCTTAACTATAAATGCTTTTAGCAGCAATCATTGCTTACCAATAGAAATATCTAGATCAGGCATGTCAAACTGCCGGCCTGCGGGCCGGATGCATCATACTGAAACCGTGCCCACCCCATTGCTGGCAATGGGGAAAAAATCGCGATACATCGCGCAATATCACGTGACGTCGCGAGTTTGACATGCCTGATCTAGATAATCTTTTGCTTGAAAGAGGTTGGATAAGATTTGGTTACTGTTTGGGAAGGTCTCATTAATATATAAAATCCATATTTTTTTAAAAAAAGAAAATGTCACTATTTTATCAAGATAGGGAGGATTTTGTGTTTTATAATGATGCGTGGACCTGATTTAATTGACCTGATTTAGGATTGTTCAAAGTAGTGATAAATTTAGGGTAGTGTGTAATAAATTGGAATATAAAGGAAATGTATTTGATATATATTTGTTATATTAAAATGTTAAGATACATCAAGATTGGCCTTTTTGATCCATCTCAGATTTTAAACTCTTGGAAGCTTCGTGGAGCCTGAGAACATTTCTCAGAAGCATATCAGTTTGGCTGGCTTTGGAAAACAATGGATGGTTAAGACATCGATTAAGACCTTCCATTGTTAGATAAATCATATCTTAATTGCCTGCCTGCATCCCTACACCTTGTCAAATATGTTTTCATATTTGTTCACTGTATAGAATTTTGATTTAAATATGCCTGAAAGAGTCTGAAGCATTGACAAACCAGCAGTGCTTACATAATTGATGTCAGTAGAAATCTAGTCACAGTCTCTGTCAGATAGAATAATATTCCTATATTTTCTGTGTCACATGTATGGAAACTTGAGTGAGTAAAGAAAGAATGCAGTGGTGGGTACAGAATTTTGACTAGGGATCTTATTTTGCTTGAAGGTTAGTTTTAAAAGAAATGTACCAGTATACTTTGTTTAGTTCTCACCCCAATCCTAAATGGTAGTAACTTCCTAAACTGTTGGATTCCAATACCTAAGAATACCAATTCTTATATTAATCTGCCTGTACTTTAGGATTATCTGCCAAAATGAATGTTTTGGAGTGTTTTTCTTGTTAACCGAAATTGATATAAAAAGAGTTTTAATATAATTTGAATGCTGCACTAGGTGGGTGTGGGTGTGTAGACTTTATAGGCTAAATGGTGCCTTCTAGTGGGAGATTTTTGGCATTGACATGCCAGTTCTGAAATGATTTTTTTCAAAACAATGTTTGCTAATGTAAATGTTAACCAAGGAAGATAAAATTAATTTGTTAGTCTGTGTTGAGATTGCACCTGCAGTATTGCTTTTATCTTTGATCATTGTCACTGAAAAAGTCTTTATATAGTACTGTATCATGATATACAAATTATGTAATGGAAATGTTTGAATGTTTGAGACAGTAAAATTGCCTTGCCATAGTGGCTCCATATTAACTTTCACTGTTGGTATTCCTATGGAACTATGCTGAAGTTTGATTTTTCAGGCAATACATACCATTCCTATTTGGAAAACTATTTGATAGCAAGTGAACATGATATTATTTCATATTGCTTGGGGCTATATTCAGCTTTCTTCTGAAGAGAGGTCTAGCTTTTCTGTCTGGGACCTCAGAGGTTAGAAACAGAATGTATGTTTGTCCTGCTTGAGATGCAAGGATTTTCATCATTTTTGAGAATAAAGCTTTCAGCATTTATGCATGCACATAAAAAATGGTAGAGCCTATATGTTTCTTCTGCTGCTTCACATTACTTTAGCAGTATATAATTCAGCATACTATGTAAATAAGATGTTTATAAAAGGTGAACAATACAACATTTTCCTCTGCAAAGACAAAACAGGAAGAATAAGCTTCATTCCTGTGTTATGTATTATGTCAAAACACTAGGATAGCCCATGGGCAAATGTGAATCATTTGTTCTCATTTGGCTATGCAGTGTCTCCATGGGGTTTCATCATAACCTTTCATTTATAGAGTAAGGATATCATGAGGACTTTTGCACATACTTACAGCATTTGGATTAGATTGGAGGAAGTCTATAAAATGGTTCAGGAAGAGTTGATGTAGTACATATGGTATGAGGAGACTGGGAAGAAGGAGTTGCTGAGGAACAAGGAAGTCTCAAAATTTAGAATTTGACTTATTTAGATAAGTGTTGGGATAGTAACTGTGCTCTGTCTGATTTTCAGTGTTATTTTAGATACACTTTTGTGTCCTAAGGTATATTAGTAGTAGTAGTAGTACAAGCAGAAAG